GCCGGCCTCCTCGGCCTCCCGGGGCGCTCGTGGTTTTGTTTCCCGCTCGCTTTTGTTTTTAATTTGTTTTGACCGCCCGCGCCGGCCCCGCCAGTGGCGACACCTGACAGTTTCTTCTCTGCCATGGCTGGAGGGGAGGAACCAAAAATCAAAAAATCTGCGAATCCCATTTTAATGAGAAGCTGCTTCTTTCTGCTGCAGAAACCTGGGACTTTAATTATCCCGTAGCATTAGGCTGACAAGCCACCCGGCCTCAGCTGATCTGGGTGATAATTAGACCTGTTGGCTCTCCAGCGGAGGAGAACAGCAATTTTCGAGTGCAGCGCTTCCGTGCGTCCTCCAAGGAAAGCACAATCATTCAGAAATTGGGAGTTTGACAGGATGCCAGTTTTAATACACCCATTGAAATGTTTTGTTGTCAGCTGCGGGGCAGCCACATGTCCATCATAACAATTTTCCTCTAGAAACTTTGTTGGCAAAGGAGAAACGCTAGGAATTAGCTCTCTCTGATTTGTTGGGGTTTTTCTGCTTTTGGTTTGTTTGGGGATTTTTTTTTTTTGTAAATCTATTTGTATGAATGAGGGAGATTTTAAACATTCATGATGTCTTGGTTAGCACTACCTGAGCTGGACCTTCTGTGCGTATTCTGGTAGGAGTTGCAGAGACTTATCTGGAGAAAAAATCAGGTCTTTAATCAATACCACCAGCTTTTCAAACCCCCAAGCATTCAGAAAGCAAAAAAGGTCTGGCATCCATCAACAGTCTTGTAAACAACACCCCAAAGACCTGCCAATCTGCCTTCATACAATAACTACATGATCTTTTAGTGTATGAAATACAGCAAATTAGAAGGATCAGTGGATGAGGAAAAAAACATTAAACCAGCAATTTTGATGTGGTCAAGATCAGAAGCCACAGCAAGTCTCTTTTGTCTGCCAGCCACATGCTTCCCTCATGAGATGAGCTGCTGGTCTCAGTCCTGCTCCTTGGGGATAGGTGTCCCAAAGTTATTCCTGGGAGAAACCATCACGGTTATTGCCAGTGGTCTCAGGAGAGCAGCTCGAGACTATGGTTAAGGAGCCGGGGTTCGAGTGG